ACTATAACAGATTATTAAGTTGTGCTTTCAATGCTACTACAATTACATATGTATTTTTGAAATAATAGAATAAGTGCTACTCTGCTAGTTAACTTGTGTCTGTGTGTATGTGTATGTGTGTGTGTGTGTGTCTATGTGTATGTGTGTATGTGTATGTGTGTGTGTGTGTGTGTCTATGTGTATGTGTGTATGTGTATGTGTGTGTGTGTGTGTGTATGTACGTATGTATGTATGTATGTATGTGTGTGTGTGCACATGTATGTATGTACGTGTGTGTGTGCATGTGTATGTATGTATGTATGTACGTGTGTGTGCATGTGTATGTATGTATGTATGTACGTGTGTGTGTGCATGTGTATGTATGTATTTATATGTGTGTGTGTGTGTGTGTGTGTGCATGTGTATGTATGTATGTATGCATGTAGGTGTATGTCTGTGTATGTATGTATGTATGTGTGTGAAAGTGTTTGTTCTGTTATTATCGATGAAAAGTTTAACTTGTAAGCCTTATTGCATGTGTGTCTTCATCATAATCTTATAAATGAGCAAATTTTTTTTCTTAGTTTTCTATTTATTCGTTATATGATAGTTTCACTTCGGAATATTATTATTATTATTATTATTATTATCATTGCCATTACTATTATTATTATCGTTATTATTATTATTATTATTATTATTATTATTATTATTATTATTATTATTATTATTATTATTATTATCATTGCCATTACTATTATTATTATCGTTATTATTATTATTATTATTATTATTTATTATTATTATTATTATTATTATTATTATTATTATTATTATCATTGTCATTACTATTATTATTATCGTTATTATTATTATTATCGTTATTATCGTTATTATTATTATTATCATTGTTTTTACTATTATTTTTATCTTTATCTTTATTTTTATTATTATTATTGTTATTATTATCATTATCATTACTATTATTATTGTCGTTTTTATTATTATTATTATTGATTATTGTTACTAATATTATTTTTATTGATTTTCCTCCCTTTTTTTTATGATATTATTTCAATTCTATTATAAAATGTATAAATGAAAGCAAAGCAATGCACATTTTAAAATATGCGAACAATTTCGAATTGCACTAAATAGCGTTATTGAATGGTAATATTACAAAATGATAAATATTTTATGTTATAGATATTGGCAAATAAATAATTCAAATGATACAATCATTGATTGAAATATGAATTATTAATGTAAAATGTATGTGTGTTTAAAAATTAAAATTAAATTCAAACGATAAATGAAAATATGGAGATGAAAGAGAAGGAATTAATTTTTAGTATCAAACGAACTGTTCTAAATCAGGTTAATTTTTTTTTTTTTTTAATTTAATTTATTATTTGACTTTTTTTTTTGATTCATATTTTATTTTTGTTTATTATTATTATTATTATTATCTATCATGTATTATTTAGTAGTATTATTATTTGATTTTATAATATTATTATTTAGTAGTATTATTATTTGATTTTATAATATTATTATTTAGTAGTATTATTATTTGATTTTATAATATTATTATTTAGTAGTATTATTATTTGATTTTATAATATTATTATTTAGTAGTATTATTATTTGATTTTATAATATTATTATTTAGTAGTATTATGATTTGATTTTATAATATTATTATTTAGTAGTATTATGATTTGATTTTATAATATTATTATTTAGTAGTATTATGATTTGATTTTATAATATTATTATTTAGTAGTATTATGATTTGATTTTATAATATTATTATTTAGTAGTATTATTATTTGATTTTATAATATTATTATTTAGTAGTATTATTATTTGATTTTATAATATTATTATTTAGTAGTATTATTATTTGATTTTATAATATTATTATTTAGTAGTATTATTATTTGATTTTATAATATTATTATTTAGTAGTATTATTATTTGATTTTATAATATTATTATTTAGTAGTATTATTATTTGATTTTATAATATTATTATTTAGTAGTATTATTATTTGATTTTATAATATTATTTTTTTTTTAGATTGGATTTACTTTTTAAAAATTATTGTTGTTTACAGGAGAAATTTGATTATCAATATGGATATATTGAAACAAATTTAAATTTGAAAGAATAATGAGAAAGAAATTAAATAAATTTATCAGTATGGTTTATTGATCAAATTAAACAATTTTTTCCTATTTTATTTTGGCTTCCAAATATTACCAAATCAGATCTTTTCAAAGATATTATTGCTGGTATTACAGTTGGAATACTTTGTGTACCACAAGGTTAGTTATTTCTTTTTTGGTTATTTATTTTTTTTTTTATAAGATTATAATGATATGAAGAAATAATATTGTTTACATAAATTATTTAATTAAATATTTAATTAATTAATGTTGAATATTTATTAATTTATTAAGTTTAAATTTTATCATAACTATTTGTTTAACTTCTTCCGAAAAAGTTAAAAATCATTTAATATTGTTTATATAAATTATTTAATTAAATATTTAATTAATTAATGTTGATTATTTATTAATTTATTAAGTTTAAATTTTATCATAACTATTTGTTTAACTTCTACCGAAAGAGTTAAAAATCATTTAATATTGTTTATATAAATTATTTAATTAAATATTTAATTAATTAATGTTGATTATTTATTAATTTATTAAGTTTAAATTTTATCATAACTATTTGTTTAACTTCTTCCGAAAGAGTTAAAATTATTTAATATTGTTTATATAAATTATTTAATTAAATATTTAATTAAATAATGTTGATTATTTATTAATTTATTAAGTTTAAATTTTATCATAACTATTTGTTTAACTTCTTCCGAAAGAGTTAAAAATCATTTAATATTGTTTATATAAATTATTTAATTAAATATTTAATTAATTAATGTTATTATTTATTAATTTATTAAGTTTAAATTTTATCATAACTATTTGTTTAACTTTACGAAAGAGTTTAAAAATATTTAATATTGTTTATATAAATTATTTAATTAAATATTTAATTAAATAATGTTATTATTTATTAATTTATTAAGTTTAAATTTTATCATAACTATTTGTTTAACTTCTACCGAAAGAGTTTAAAAATCATTAATATTGTTTATATAAATTATTTAATTAAATATTTAATTAAATAATGTTGATTATTTATTAATTTATTAAGTTTAAATTTTATCATAACTATTTGTTTAATTCTAAATTAAAGAGTTAAAAATCATTTAATATTGTTTATATAAATTATTTAATTAAATATTTAATTAAATAATGTTGATTATTTATTAATTTATTAAGTTTAAATTTTATCATAACTATTTGTTTAACTTCTACCGAAAGAGTTAAAAATCATTTAATATTGTTTATATAAATTATTTAATTAAATATTTAATTAATTAATGTTGATTATTTATTAATTTATTAAGTTTAAATTTTATCATAACTATTTGTTTAACTTCTTCCGAAAGAGTTTAAAAATCATTTAATATTGTTTATATAAATTATTTAATTAAATATTTAATTAAATAATGTTGATTATTTATTAATTTATTAAGTTTAAATTTTATCATAACTATTTGTTTAACTTCTTCCCAAAGAGTTAAAAATCATTTAATATTGTTTATATAAATTATTTAATTAAATATTTAATTAATTAATGTTGATTATTTATTAATTTATTAAGTTTAAATTTTATCATAACTATTTGTTTAACTTCTTCCGAAAGAGTTAAAAATCATTTTGGAAAAGATTTTTCTTGTTGATTTCTTATATTAGATTATACTTTCAACTATTTTGTGTTCAATTTACAGTGACATATTAACATGAAATATATTTATTAATTTATATTTTAATGGTAGTAAATTATTTTTAAAAAAATATTAGATAGAAATGACAAACTTTTTTAATTTTTTTTTTTCTGTAATGAATTTTAAAAAGATAATATAGTTTATTTGGATTATTTATTTTTCAAATGACTAAAGCGTATATAAAATGTCATCCAAAATGACATTTTCATTTTTATTAATTTTCTTTTATTCTTTTTTTTTGTTTGGTTGAAAAAGAAAAGAAAAATGATGTATTTAATTTTAATTATTATTATTGATTTATTTAATTTTAATTATTATTATTGATGTATTTAATTTTAATTATTATTACTGATGTATTTAATTTTAATTATTATTATTGATGTATTTAATTTTAATTATTATTATTATTGTTAAATTATAAAACTAATTAATTCTTATAGCTTATCATATGCATTCATAAATTTTTTTTAGTTATTTTTAGTTAAATTTTTTTTTTTTTAGTTAAATTTTTTTAGTTAATTTTTTTAGTTATCATTTAGTTAATTAAAATATTTCCGGAAAATATCTGTAAGGAAAAAAATAACTGACATTTACTTTATAATTTTCTTTCTTAACAATACTACTAATAATTGTTTATTAAATTATAAAACTAATTCTTATAGCTTCTCATAGGCACATATAAATCTTTTTTTTCCGATCATTTATTTACTTAATTAAAATATTTCCGGAAAATATCTGTAAGGAAACAAAAAAAAAAAAATAACTGACATTTACTTTATAATTTTCTTTCTTAACAATACTACTAATTGTTTATTAAATTATAAAACTAATTCTTATAGCTTCTCATAGGCACATAAAAATTTTTTTTTCCGATCATTTATTTACTTAATTAAAATATTTCCGGAAAATATCTGTAAGGAAACAAAAAAAAAAATAACTGACATTTACTTTATAATTTTTTTTCTTAACGATATTACTAATAATTGTTTATTTAATTGTTTATTATTTTATTATATTTAATAGTTGTTTATTTAATCGTTTATTATTTTATTATATTTAATAATTGTTTATTTAATTGTTTATTATTTTATTATATTTAATAATTGTTTATTTAATTGTTTATTATTTTATTATTAAACAGAATTCAATTTAGCTATGGCTTATTCTGCATTAGCAAATGTGAATGCAGTGATTGGATTGTATACATCATTATTTCCTACTTTAGTTTATGTTATATTTGGAACATCAAAACATATCAATCTTGGTTTGTTATTATTTTGAAAGTTTTATTTGAAAATTTTTTTTTTTTTTGAAACAAACTAATTATTTTATTATTTATTTATTTAATAATAATTGTTTATTTTATTTTTTATTTTATTTTATTTAATTTTATTTTTATTTTATTTTATTTTATTTAATTTTGATTTCTTTTCATACAAAAAAAAAATTTTTGATATAATATAATTTTAGATTTCTTTGAACGAAATTCTTTTTTTCAACATTAACAAAGTTTTGTTTGAAATTTACAAAATTAACTTTTGAAAACAAAAAAAATTCTGTCAAATAAAAAAAAATCAATGCTTTGAAGTGCTTTTTTTTCTTTTAAATGATAAATTTAATATTAATTATGAGATAAAGGTTAATTACAGGTATGTTTGCAGTTGTAGCATTGAAATTCTTATTTCAACATTAACAAAGTTTTGTTTGAAATTTACAAAATTAACTTTTGAAAACAAAAAAAAAAAATTTCTGTTAAAAAAAAAATAAATAATGCTTTGAAGTGCTTTTTTTTTTAAATGATAAATTTAATATTAATTATGAGATAAAGGTTAATTACAGGTAAAAAAATAAAAAAAAACAATGCTTTGAAGTGCTTTTTTTTTTAAATGATAAATTTAATATTAATTATGAGATAAAGGTTAATTACAGGTATGTTTGCAGTTGTAGCATTGAAATTCTTATTTCAACATTAACAAAGTTTTGTTTGAAATTTACAAAATTAACTTTTGAAAACAAAAAAAAAAAATTTCTGTTAAAAAAAAAATAAATAATGCTTTGAAGTGCTTTTTTTTTTAAAAAATGATAAATTTAATATTAATTATGAGATAAAGGTTAATTACAGGTATGTTTGCAGTTGTAGCATTGAAATTCTTATTTCAACATTAACAAAGTTTTTTTTGAAATATACAAAATTAACTTTTGAAAAAAAAAAAATAAAAAATAAATAATGCTTTGAAGTGCTTTTTTTTTTTAAATGATAAATTTAATATTAATTATGAGATAAAGGTTAATTACAGGTATGTTTGCAGTTGCAGCATTAATGACAGGAAATGCATTGGAACGTAGAATGGAAGATATATTTGATAAAAATAAAACTGATTTATATAATTTACAAATGATTGATAATAATATTTTAACTGTTAAATTGATGGCTACTTTAACATTTACTGTTGGTTTCGTTATGGTAATTTGTTTATTTCATCTAAATTAATATTTTTTAATTATATGATAAGAATGAAATAAGAAAAAAAAAAGAATTGAATTAAATTAAATTAAATTGAAACGATCACATAATTAATTCAAAATATATATTAATATTTTAATAATATGATAGGAATGAAAAGAGAAAAAAGAAAAGAATTGAATTGAATTAAATTGAAACGATCACATAATTAATTCAAAATATATATTAATATTTTAATAATATGATAGGAATGAAAAGAGAAAAAAGAAAAGAATTGAATTGAATTAAATTGAAACGATCACATAATTAATTCAAAATATATATTAATATTTAATAATATGATAGGAATGAAAAAGAAAAAAGAAACGAATTGAATTGAATTAAATTGAAACGATCACATAATTAATTCAAAATATATATTTTATTATATTAAAATATAATAAGTAAACAATACAATATTCAACTAATATATTTGAAAAAAAAAAATTACTTTATATCCTTTAAATTATTACAATGACAGTAAACGATAGTGAATATTTAGCAATTGAATTTAACCAGAAATTTCAAAAACTAAATAGGAATTTAGCTATTTTCATATATATATATATAGCATGAAATTTATTTTTAATGTAAAAAAAAATGAGAAATGATAGTAATTACAATTAGCATCAAAGATGAAAGAGCATTTCAAGTGATTAGTTCAAGTATAATTAAGAATGAACAGAATTGATATATTTGTTTAGTAGTGGTGCAAATTTATTTATTTATTTATTTATTTATTTATAGTTTTTCATATTTGAATTTATATTGTTCAATAGAAGAGTAAACTTGTTAATTTATTTATAGTTTTTTTTTTCATCTTTGAATTTCTAATTGATATTTGATTTATATTTGTTCAATAGAAGAGTAAATTTATTTATTTATTTATAGTTTTTCATCTTCGAATTTCTAATTATCATTTGATTTATATTTGTTCAATAGAAGAGTAAATTTATTTATTTATTTATAGTTTTTCATATTCGAATTTCTAATTATCATTTGATTTATATTTGTTCAATAGAAGAGTAAATTTATTTATTTATTTATTTATTTATAATTTTGTTTTTTTCATCTTTGAATTTCTAATTGATATTTGATTTATATTTGTTCAATAGAAGAGTAAATTTATTTATTTATTAATTTATAGTTTTTTTTTTCATCTTTGAATTTCTAATTGATATTTGATTTATATTTGTTCAATAGAAGAGTAAATTTATTTATTTATTTATTTATAGTTTTTTTTTTCTTTTTTTCATCTTTAAATTTCTAATTAACATTTAATTTCTTTTTTCAGGCAATTTTTGCCATACTACAATTGCATTTTCTTACTGTTTATTTGGCTGATCCAGTAGTTGGTGGTTTTACAATTGGTGCAGCATGTCATGTATTTGCATCACAAATGCCAAAATTAATTGGTATTCAAATACCATCAAGATATGGTCCATTTGGTCTTTTCAAATTACCATATGTAATATTTTTATTTTTTTTTTAAATAAAATATTACAATCATTTCTTGTAATTGTTGTATATATTTTTGAATTGAAAATATTATAAATAGTATTTTCAATTTATCACTTTATTAATTGATAGGATAATTGATACTTTGTATTTGTTACAATTAAAAATTAAAATTACAATTAAAAATTAAAATTACAATTAAAAATTAAAATACAATTAAAATTAAAATATTAAAATATATATAAAATTTTTAACAAAATATTTTAGTTTTTATTCGATTTTGTGACATTTACTAAAGGAAGCAAATTTATGGTTGTATATTTTTGAATTGAAAATATTATAAAGAGTCTTTTCAATTATCTTTTTATTAATTGATAGGATAATTGATACTTTGTATCTATTACAATTAAAAATTAAAATTATAATTAAAATTTAAAATACAATTAAAATTAAAACATTAAAATATATATAAAATTTTTAATAAAATATTTTAGTTTTTATTCGATTTTGTGACATTACTAAAGGAAGCAAATTTATGGTTGTATATTTTTTAATTGAAAATATTATAAAGAGTATTTTCAATTATCACTTTATTAATTGATAGGATAATTGATACTTTGTATCTGTTACAATTAAAAATTAAAATACAATTAAAATTAAAACATTAAAAATATATATAATTTTTAACAAAATATTTTAGTTTTTATTCGATTTTGGCATCTACTAAAGGAAGCAAATTTATGGTTGTATATTTTTGAATTGAAAATATTATAAAGTATTTTCAATTATCACTTTATTAATTGATAGGATAATTGATACTTTGTATCTGTTACAATTAAAAATTAAAATTACAATTAAAAATTAAAATACAATTAAAATTAAAACATTAAAATATATATAAAATTTTTAATAAAATATTTTAGTTTCTATTCGATTTTGTGACATTACTAAAGGAAGCAAATTTATGGTTGTATATTTTTGAATTGAAAATATTACAAAGAGTATTTTCAATTATCACTTTATTAATTGATAGGATAATTAATACTTTGTATCTGTTACAATTAAAAATTAAAATACAATTAAAATTAAAACATTAAAATATATATAAAATTTTTAACAAAATATTTTAGTTTTTATTCGATTTTGTGACATTTACTAAAGGAAGCAAATTTATGGTTGTATATTTTTGAATTGAAAATATTATAAAGAGTATTTTCAATTATCACTTTATTAATTGATAGGATAATTGATACTTTGTATCTATTACAATTAAAATTATAATTAAAATTAAATACAATTAAAATTAAAAATTAAAATATATATAAAATTTTTACAAAATATTTTAGTTTTTATTCGATTTTGTGACATTTACTAAAGGAAGCAAATTTATGGTTGTATATTTTTGAATTGAAAATATTATAAAGAGTATTTTCAATTATCACTTTATTAATTGATAGGATAATTAATACTTTGTATCTGTTACAATTAAAAATTAAAATTACAATTAAAAATTAAAATTACAATTGAAATTAAAACATTAAAATATATATAAAATTTTTAACAAAATATTTTAGTTTTTATTCGATTTTGTGACATTACTAAAGGAAGCAAATTTATGTGTGGTAATCATATCAGTAATTTCAATTGCTATATTGATGCTTGGAAAGTATATTTTAAATCCATTAATACAGCAACGGATTCGAATACCAATGCCATTTGAACTTTTTGTGGTTGATATTTCTTTTTTTTAGTTTACTTTTTAATTTTTTCCTATTTTAAATTATTTCTATCAAATTTTTTTTTTAACCAAAAAATGGATGAGTGAAAAATTTTTTTTTTTTTTTGCTTTAATGCTGATAGTTTTAAATATTTTTATAAGTTTATGCATTATTAATAAATTTAAGTATTACTATAAATATTGCTTCATATATGTTTTTGCAATTTTCTTTATGAATTTATTGTGAAAATTTTAGATGATACTCGGCACATTGATGACTTATATGTTGGAATTAAATGTAAAACAAAAAGTTGCTATTGTTGGATTTATACCATCAAAGTTGGTTCTTAAAACTTATTTGAAACAATTATTTATTCAATATTTTTATTATTTATTCATATTTTTATCATTTAGTTGTTTTTTTTTTTTTTTTTTAAAAAAAAAAACGAACGCAAAACAATTAATATTCATTAGGATTCTATTCGATTTTCTTATTTTTTTTAAACAATCTTTTTTTTTTTTTTTTCATTAAATATTTTAGATATATTTCATTCTTCTCTACAAGGTTGTTTCCAAAAAAAAAATTTATTCAATTTTAGATTGTTAATATAATTTAAGAAAATGTATGATAATGAATGAATTATGATGTATTTATACTGATAATTTAAGTAATTTTATAGGTTACCAATGCCAACACTACCAGAATTCAAATATTTTAGTGCATTTATTTTGGATGCATTAGTAATTGCTATAGTAATTTATTCGTTTACAGCATCTGTAGGTAAAGTATTTGCAAAAAACATGGATATCATATTAATCCAAGTCAGGTATAAATTTTATTCTTATTAAAAGTTAAATTTTCAATTCTTTTCAATATATTACTATTGTTCCAAGTCAGGTATAAATTTTATTCTTATTAAAAGTTTATTCTTATTAAAAGTTATATATAAAAGTTAAATTTTCAATTCTTTTCAATATATTACTATTGTTCCAAGTCAGGTATAAATTTTATTCTTATTAAAAGTTTATTCTTATTAAAAGTTATATATATAAGTTAAATTTTCAATTCTTTTCAATATATTACTATTGTTCCAAGTTAGGTATAAATTTTATTCTTATTAAAAGTTTATTCTTATTAAAAGTTATATATATAAGTTAAATTTTCAATTCTTTTCAATATATTACTATTGTTCCAAGTCAGGTATAAATTTTATTCTTATTAAAAGTTATTCTATTAAAAGTTATATATATATTAAATTTTCAAATTTTTCAATATATTACTATTGTTCCAAGTCAGGTATAAATTTTATTCTTATTAAAAAGTTTATTCTTATTAAAAGTTATATATAAAAGTTAAATTTTCAATTCTTTTCAATATATTACTATTGTTCCAAGTCAGGTATAAATTTTATTCTTATTAAAAGTTAAATTTTCAATTCTTTTCAATATATTACTATTGTCGTGAAAGATAAAATTTTTAAATTATTATATCCAAACTAACAAATTACTTATCTAATTCCTTTTCCCAAGTCAACAAAAACCCTTTGTTATTAAAAGTTTGTTAGCAAAACCCTTTATATTCTTTGTTTCACATCAGTTAAATATCCTCTGCCGGATATCTGATCAGCTCAGTTATGCATATAAACTATTGTCCTCATACGGTGGTGTTCATTCTTCATTTTGGGGTGGTTTTGATATCATTTTAATATTTTAAAATTAGTCTTTCGTTACGCGTTTGTTAATCGGTGTAGCATCCGTACGATATGTATAAAGCGCTATTATTTGCTTCATGTTAAATAAAGGTTTAATAATTACCCAAGTTTGAGGTTTCACGATAACTATTGTTTAAATAAATATTATTAGAATTGAATTATGTTATGTTATATGTTTAGTCATTTCAAATTTATTTTTAATTTTAATTAAGTAATGTTACTTCAAAATTGAATTATGTTATGTTATATGTTTAGTCATTTCAAATTTATTTTTGATTTTAATTAAGTAATGTTATTTCAAAATTGAATTATATTATGTTATATGTTTAGTCATTTCAAATTTATATATATTACTATTGTTTACATGTTGTTTACATGCTGTTATAAATAATATTATTAGAATTGAATTATGTTATGTTATATGTTTAGTTATTTCAAATTTATTTTTATTTTAATTAAATAATGTTATTTCAAAATTGAATTATGTTATGTTATATGTTTAGTCATTTCAATTTTATGTTATGTTATATGTTTAATCATTTCAAATTTATTTTTTAATTAAGTAATGTTATTTCAAAATTGAATTATGTTATGTTATATGTTTAGTCATTTCAAATTTATTTTTTGCATTTTAATTAAGTAATGTTATTTCAAAATTGAATTATATTATGCTATATGTTTAGTCATTTCAAATTTATTTTTTAATTTTAATTAAATAATGTTATTTCAAAATGATGACATTTTTTCATTTAATTAATTTAAACAATTCAAATGAATAATTTTAAATGAATTTAATAATTTTTAGGAACTGAAAGCAATTGCACTATGTCAATTGATAGGTGGCTTTTTAAGTTGTCATCCTGCAAGTTTATCACGTGCTCTTTTAAATTCAGAATTGGGTGCCACTTGAGGTTAGATTTTCTCTTCTAACAAACAAAGAAAGAAAGAAAGAAAAAAAAAATTTATTTAAATATTAACTAATAATTTTTATTTTTGATATAAATATTACTGATTATGATGTTAGGAATAGTTTTTTTTTTTTTTTTTAATTTCTATAATTATATATAAATGTTGAATTACATATAATGTTTACAGCTTTCAAGCGTTGTAGCTGCACTTGTAGTACTTTTGGTCATTTTATTGGTTGGACCATTGCTATACTATTTGCCAACGGTATGCTAAATAATCATTTATGTGATGCTAATAGTAAAGTTTACTTTTTTTTTTTAAAATTATTCAATTAAAGTTTATAAAGTTATTTGTATAATGATTAGCATTTATTAATTCTACAGTTTATTTTCCAAATAATCATTTATATGATTCTAATAGTAAAGTTTACTTTCTTTTTTAAATTATTTAATTAAAGTTTATAAAGTTATTTGTATAATGATTAGCATTTATTAATTCTACAGTTTATTTTTCAAATAATTATTTATATGATTCTAATAGTAAAGTTTAATTCTTTTTTTTTTTTAAATTATTCAACTAAAGTTTATAAAGTTATTTGTATAATGATTAGCATTTATTAATTCTACAGTTTATTTTCCAAATAATTATTTATGTGATGCTAATAGTAAAGTTTACTTTTTTATTTAAATTATTCAACTAAAGTTTATAAAGTTAATTGTATAATGATTAGCATTTATTAATTCTACAGTTTATTTTCCAAATAATTATTTATACATTGCTAATGGTAAAGTTTACTTTTTATTTATTTGAAATCATTTCAGTGTGTACTGGTATCAGTAATAGTGGTAGCTCTACAGGGAATGTTTCTAAGAGCTAATGAAGCTGTTCACTATTGGAAAACTTCAAAAATTGATTTGGTTAGTGCGCTGATATTTATTAAAAGCACTTTTAGTGTCTTAGTTTTATTGATAAAATTAATGAAGTTGATAATATTGATAAAAATTAATGGATGTCTTAGTTTTATTGATAAAATTAATGAAGTAATGATATTGATAAGAATTAATGGATGTCTTAGTTTTGTTGATAAAATTAATGAAGTAATGATATTGATAAAAATTAATGGATGTCTTAGTTTTATTGATAAAATTAATGAAGTGATAATATTGATAAATATTAATGGATGTCTTAGTTTTATTGATAAAATTAATGAAGTAATGATATTGATAAAAATTAATGGATGTCTTAGTTTTATTGATAAAATTAATGAAGTAATGATATTGATAAAAATTAATGGATGTCTTAGTTTTATTGATAAAATTAATGAAGTAATGATATTGATAAAAATTAATGGATGTCTTAGTTTTATTGATAAAATTAATGAAGTGATAATATTGATAAATATTAATGAATCATATATTCATTCTTATCAGTAGTATGCTTAAAAAAATTTCAGCTTATTTGGTTAATAAGTTTTCTGGGCACATTTCTATGGAATGTCAGTGAAGGTCTTGGTGTAGCTATAATATTTGCTATTTTAACTGTTATCATTCGTACACAATGGTTTGAATTTGTTTGTTATTAATTTATATATGATTGAAAATTAATTTATATATGATTAAAGTTAAAGAATAAATTTTAAAAGATTTCATTCATATTTTACTTTTTAGCTTTTTTTTTTTTGATTTGAACAATGAAAACTTTGAAAAGTTTATTTATGTATTTATGAATTCTTTCTTCTACCTTTTTGACTGAATTCAAAATGTATCCTCCATACATATATTTTAGGCCAATGAAAATTAATTTATGTATGATTAAAGTTAAAGAGTAAATTTTGAAAGATTTCATTTATACTTTACTTTTTAACTTTTTTTTTTTCTTGATTTAATCAATGAAAACTTTGAAAAGTTTATTTATGTATGTATTTATGAATTCTTTCTTCTAAACCTTTTGACTGAATTCAAAATGTATCCCTCATACATATATTTTAGGCCAAAAACTGTAACACTTGGTGGAATTAAAGATACCGAGCTATATAGAGACATTTGTCGTTACAGGTAAAATTAATTTTGTTTACATTTATTATTGCTTAAAATCAATATTTATTATATCGACTTTAGAAAATGTTTTTAGATATTGAAATTATATGTGAAAATTATGATTTAAAATTAGTCTTGTTTACATTTATCATTCTTTAAAATTGAATATTATTATATCGACTTTAGGAAATTGTTTTTAGATATTGAAATTATATATGTGAAAATTATGATTTAAAATTAGTCTTGTTTACATTTATTATTGTTTAAAATCAATATTTATTATATCGATTTTAGAAAATGTTTTTAGATATTGATTTTTAGATATTTTAGATATATGTGAAAATTATGATTTAATCATGAAACTAGGATTTAGCCTTCAATTCAATTTGATATTATGCAAAATTACTTTTTCAGTGAATCATTAGTATCACCAACGATTGTGATTTATCGCTATGATGCACCTTTACTTTTTCTCAATAGCGATTTATTTATCAAAAAAGCTCTTGATATTGCTATGATAAAAATGGTTAGTTATCATTTTTTATCAGATCTATGTGTCATGGTGTCAATGAATTGATCATGAAATGATCATATCAATGAATTTTTTTTTTTGTATTGAAAAGTTGATGATAAAATGGTTAGTTATCATTTTCATCAAAACAATTTCTTATCAGATGTAAGTGTTATGTGTCTGATAAAATGGTTAGTTATCATTTTGATCAAACAATTTCTTATCAGATCTAAGTCTCATGGTGTTAATGAATTGATCATAAAATGATCATATCAATGATTTTTTTTTTTTTTTTTATTGAAAAGTTGGTGATAAAATGGTTAGTTATCATTTTCATCAAACAATTTCTTATCACATCTAAGTGTTATATGTCTGATAAAATGGTTAATTATCATTTTCATCAAACAATTTCTTATCAGATCTAAGTGTCATGTGTTAATGAATTGATCATGAAATGATCATATCATGGAATTTCTTTTTTATTGAAAACAGTTTGAAAAAAAAAAAAAATTACAGAAAATGTTAAATGAAAACGAAACACTTTATCTGATCATTGATGCTTCGGGATTTACATGCATTGATTATACCGGAATTGAAAGATTGAAGGATTTATCGCAGGAATTGAGAAATCGTAATGTTGAAATATTTATGGCTGCCTCAAAAGGTTCAAAATATTATAACATTTATGAATTAAAAAATTAATCATTTCATTTATATGTAAAATTTACCCCTTTAAATTTACCCTAGTTTAAATTTACCCTTTAAATTTACCCTAGAAATAATGAAAAAAGTAAATATGTTTGTTGCATGATAATATATATTTATGAAAAGAAATTTTTTTAATATCTATGACAAAATATTATAACATTTATGAATTAAAAAATTAATCATTTCATTTATATGTAAAATTTACCCTTTAAATTTACCCTAGTTTAAATTTACCCTTTAAATTTACCCTAGTCGAAAATAATGAAAAAAGTAAATATGTTTGTTGCATGATAATATATGTATATGAAAAGAAATTTTTTCTTTTTTTTGTTTTTTTTTTTAGCAGAAGCTCGAATATTATTTGCCAAATGTAATATCTATGACAAAATATTATAACATTTATGAATTAAAAAATTAATCATTTCATTTATATGTATGAACATTTATAATAGATTTATGTAAAGTTAATAGATTTAGTTAATAGAGTTAATAAGGTTAATGAGGTTAAAGTTAATAGAAAGTTAATAGAGTTAATAAGAGGTAAAGTTAATTATTAATTAATATTTTACCTATCTTTCATCTTTACCCGTTGCCTTCATTTTAATCTTTTATATGAATGTCTTTCGAATATTATCTTATATCATTTCAGATTAGATTATCATTTCAAATTTGAGATTATCTTATATCATTTCAGATTAGATTATCATTTCAGATTATCTTATATCATTTCAGATTAGATTATCATTTCAGATTTCAGATTATCTTATATCATTTCAGATTATTAACAATTTTTCAATGATTAATAGTTAATAGTTCTTTTCTTTTTCCTGATTAGCAGTTTCTTTTGATTATTAATAGTTTTTTTTTTAGCAGAAGTTCGAATATTATTTGCCAAATGTAATATCTATGAAATGATTCCATCAACAAATTTCTTTCCATCCATTCATGATGCAGTATTATTCGCTAATGCTCAACAAATAAAACAAAAGAAGAATATTTGCAAAGAACAAAATAATGTCGAATATGTATTTACACAACATTTATAATTAATTTATGTAAAATTAATTATTAATTAATATTCTTTATTAATTAATATTTTACCTATTTTTCATTTTTACTCGTTGCTTTCATTTTAATCTTTTATATGAATGTCTTTCGAATATTATGTTATATTATTTCAGATTAAATTATCATTTCAGATTTCAGATTATCTTATATTATTTCAGATTAGATTATCATTTCAGATTTCAGATTATCTTATATCATTTCAGATTTCGAATATCTATAATCATTTCAGATCAGATATTCTACCTAGTTTTCATCTTTACTCGTTGCCTTCATTTTAATCTTTTATATGTTGTCTTTCTAATATTATCTTATATTATTTCAGATTAGATTATCATTTCAGATTTGAGATTATCTTATATCATTTCAGATTAGATTATCATTTCAGATTTCAGATTATCTTATATTATTTCAGATTTCGAATATCTATAATCATTTCAGATCAGATATTTTACCTAGTTTTCATTTTTACTCGTTGCCTTCATTTTAATCTTTTATATGTTGTCTTTCGAATATTATCTTATATTATTTCAGATTAGATTATCATTTCAGATTTCAGATTATCTTATATCATTTCAGATTAGATTATCATTTTAGATTTGAGATTATCTTATATTATTTCAGATTAGATTATCATTTCAGATTTCAGATTATCTTATATCATTTCAGATTTCAAATATCTATAATCATTTCAGATTAGATTATTAACAATTTTTGAATGATTAATAGTTAATAGTTCTTTTTCTTTTTCCTGATTAGCAGTTTTCTTTTGATTAATAGTTAGCTAATTTTTTTCCTAGTTAAATACTTATTTATTTATTTATTTATTTTTTTTTTCATTTTTATTTAATCGTATTATTCTTATTGCATTCATTGAAATTTTTTATTGACATATTTCAGAATTACAGTAAATAGAAAATAAATATGATTCATTGAATTATTTGTAAATAATTATTCTGTAATGTAATATGATTTAAAATAAAATTTTAGTTACATTTATTGTTGTCATTGCAATAAAACGATATAACTTTTACTCATTATTTTATATTACTTACTTTCTTATCTTTTATTTCTTTCAAAGTTCTTCCTTTCGGCAATTTTCATTTTCATTTTTTTTTTTTTGTCAATTATTTGCAATTAGTATTGATATAGCTATATTGTATTTAAATATAATTTTGTTCTATATTATATATTATAATATGTTAATTAATTAATTAATTAATTAAATCATGTACCATTATCAGTATCAATTAATCAATCACCAAATGTCATTTGTTCCATATGATATGATATAATATGTTAATTAATTAATTAATTAAATCATATACCATTATCAGTATCAATTAATCAATCACCAAATGTCATTTCTATATGATATGATATAATATGTTAATTAATTAATTAATTAAATCATGTACCATTATCAGTATCAATTAATCAATCACCAAATGTCATTTGTTCTATATGATATGATATATTATTGTTAATTAATTAATTAATTAATTAAATCATGTACCATTATCAGTATCAATTAATCAATCACCAAATGTCATTTGTTCTATATGATATGATATAATATGTTAATTAATTAATTAATTAATTAAATCATGTACCATTATCAGTATCAATTAATCAATCACCAGATGTCGTATGATATGATATAATATGTTAATTAATTAATTAATTAAATCATGTACCATTATCAGTATCAATTAATCAATCACCAAATGTCATTTGTTCTATATGATATGATATAATTTGTTAATTAATTAATTAATTAAATCATGTACCATTATCAGTATCAATTAATCAATCACCAAATGTCATTTGTTCTATATGATATGATATAATATGTTAATTAATTAATTAATTAATTAATTAAATCATGTACCATTATCAGTATCAATTAATCAATCACCAAATGTCATTTGTTCTATATGATATGATATAATATGTTAATTAATTAATTAATTAATTAAATCATGTACCATTATCAGTATCAATTAATCAATCACCAAATGTCATTTGTTCTATATGATATGATATAATATGTTAATTAATTAATTAATTAATTAAATCATGTACCATTATCAGTATCAATTAATCAATCACCAAATGTCTTATGATATGATATAATATGTTAATTAATTAATTAATTAAATCATGTACCATTATCAGTATCAATTAATCAATCACCAAATGTCACCTTATTTTTCTAATATGATATGATATAATGTGTTTTTTTCTTTCAGAATGATTTGAAAAGAAAAAAAAAAAAAAATACAATTCTTCAGTTATATTTCGAACATATGACCCTAAGGAAGAAAGAAAAAAGTCTAAAAAATTTTCACACCTATATTCTGTTATGCGAAAATATATTTACTTTATTAGTGTCAATAAACCAATCAATCAATCAATCAATAATTAATCAATCAATAATTACACTGAATAATTATGCCAAATCACACGATAACTATTTTGAAATTAGAAAACTAGTAGTATTTGCTTCATTATTCAAATTATTTACTTTCCTTTCTTTTTTTCTTTATTTTTATTTAATGATTCTTATTAAATCAATAAAAAAATAATTAATTAATCAATTCAATCAAAATTAATTATCAATCAATCAATCATAATTACACTGAATAATTATGAAAGACAATAACTAGAAATTATTAGAAAAAATTTGCTTCATTATTCAAACCTTTATTCCTTTTTTTTCTTTATTTTTATTTAATTTGGCTATATTTTCTTATTAGTATCAATCAATCAATCAATCAATCAATCAATCAATAATTAATCAATCAATAATTACACTGAATAATTATGCCAAATCACGACGATAACTATTTTGAAATTATTAGAAAACGGGTAGTAGTATTTGCTTCATTATTCAAACTTACTTTCCTTTCCTTTTTTTTTTCTTTATTTTTATTTAATTTGGCTATATTTTCTTATTAGTATCAATCAATCAATAATTAATCAATCAATCAATCAATCAATAATTAATCAATCAATAATTGCACTGAATAATTATGCCAAATCACGACAATAACTATTTTGAAATTATTAGAAAACGGGTAGTAGTATTTGCTTCATTATTCAAATTACTTACTTTCCTTTCCTTTCCTTTTTTTTTTATTTTTATTTAATTTGGCTATATTTTCCTGTATGCTTCAGATGTGAATGGGAAAATTCTACAATGAAGAATATTTTTGCTAAAAAAAAAAAAAAACAAAGAAAGTATGAAAAAAAAAAAAAGAAACAAAAGTATTCTAATAATTCATCAATATATTTGTACTCAAAAAGTATATTTCGAGAGAATTATTCCCTACAAGTATAAACTATTATTAATATTAATAATTTTCTATTTCTAATCATTATTAAAATTAATCAAATTCATTTTTTTTAAAATGTAAATTATATTTGAAATAATTCAAAAGAATTCAAAATCAATTCAAAGTCCAATTAATCAATCCATTAATTTATGTAACAAAATATGAACGAACAAAAATTTTCAAAAAAAATTTTCTCACTTCTTTCTCAAATATATTCTCTCTCTTTTTTTTTTTTTAATAACTTCTGTATGACCTTTGACCCTCTCCAATTTTCATTAGTAATTTTAAACTTATTAGTACTAACTTTTGACCTTTTACTATCATTATTTCAGCTAAATACCACCAATGATAATAATGATCTGTTGCTATTTCGTTAGACGGTGGATGCTGAAATTTAAGTATTAAATGATATCGAGAAATTAGGTATGCGTTATATCAATGGATTATTGATGTTAAGACTGATAACAGTATGTACAATTATATTCATAGTGAATGATCTGGATGTAATATATGATTTGATCTGGTTATCGATTGATTCAATAAATGCGAAATTTTCCTATGAAAGGTTTGTTATTTGAAAATTTAATTGTATATTAATTTAAGTGAATGATTTATCTTTGATATTATATATTTACCAATTTTCAAGATTTTTTTAGTTGAATTGATAAATTAGAAATCATTTAAGCATCATATTAAGTTTATTTCAATATTTGCAATATTTCGGATTATATTTCACAAAGTTTATCCAATGCATCATTTATATTTATAGTAATCATTTATATTTATAGCATTATATCGAAGAACAATGTATCGCTACTGGCCTGGAAAGATGTGGATATATTCTCACCACCAAAACTCAATGATACGATAGCCGAAGTGTTACGACTTAACGAATTATTAGCTCATAAACAATACAAATGTGAGGAAGGTATCACTGTTGGTGACAGTAAAGGAGCTTTTACGATTTGTACAGATGGAAGATTGAACAAGACAATACGGTATGCAATTTTCAGCAATAATCATCTTGGTTATTATATATATATTCATTTTGACTTCGTCATTTGCTTGGAGATGATTTAGTGGCAAGTTTCGAGTATTTGAAATATTAGCAACTGAATGGTAGATAATTAAGATATAGCGCAATGCATTCTTTGAATTTTATGTTTGGCCAATGAAATCAAAAAGCAATGTAAGTTACCAATTAAGATTTATTTATCAAGTCTTGTTCGGTGTCATCAAATATAGCAGCTCAAACTTTGCTATCCAAGGAGAATTTAGGTTCATGTGTCTCTCATATTTCAGCAATGCTTTGTTCATTAGTGGTTCTCCAGATGATTTTGCTTTTTATTTGACTGCAGTGATTCCAGAACGATGGACATTTTTTGTTCCTGAAGGATTCAAAGCACTTGACAATTTAGGAAACGTCGGCAAGTTTTGATAAATTACTTTGTTATCTACTTTACGATTGATTATCTAGATGAGAGCAAAATAAAAATTTAATTAATCACATACGTTGTAGATGCGGAAATGCATTATCTTTTCGATCTAAACGATAATGGTATTTGGGATTTCGATGATATATTTGGTGAATTATTACATAGGCAATTTGATATCGCATTTGTCAACTTTTATACACCCATTCAGAATGGAGAATTGAGAATGACACGACTGCAAAAACTTCGTGATGCACCCAAGCTAATGGAACAAGTTTTGAAGGTCTTCACCAATCTTTTATTTGAGTTTTTTTTTTTTTTTTTTATTCGAAGTTACAGCAACTTTGTGCTATTTGAAATTACGACTTTAAGTCGTAATGATTATTGCAGGTTTTGCAATCAGACCAGCTACACCTGACCATCGAAATTGGAAAAAATATGGAAAATTTGTTATATGATTGGTATTTATTATTATATCAGATGTACTTCAAATATCATTATGCCCTTATTGGAGCCGAAACAAATTCTGCCTGTGATCGAGCGACTCATAATTGCTATTATCGACTCAGTTTCATAAAAAAGGAGCATCATCAAGTGGATTTGCCTATTTTTGGCTTTGGTTAATAATCATTAAATATACTTAAAAAGAGATGCAGAAATTAGTATTGTAATTTACATTTTTTTTTTTTTCACATATTACAGATATGACTTATCTAACTGTGAGAAATTATATTGTGAGAATAACATGTGTCAGTAGTGTTTTAGCAATTTGATCAGCGATAGTAGAATTATGCATGTTAAGAGTTATTCGCTTCAGGTAATATTTAATTATTAATAGACATTAAAAAATATATTATTTAGGTTCGCCAATGGAAGAAAAGAAGCGACTTATGAAGTATCTGACAACATTTAGAAAGGAAAATATGGAATGTAATAAAGTGTCGGAGATTAAAAATGGCATACCTTTGCTATGTAAACTAAATGTAACGGAAAAATGTACTATAGTGTATGTGAGGTATACGTTCTAAGTTTTCTATTATTTATTTATATGTGATTATACATTATAATTGATAATTTCTTTGTAGTTTGTAGTAAAATTAATGACTTGTAATTAGTAATTTCTGGATGCTGTGTTTTAGTTATCGTGGATTTGAAGTAATGGAGAATTTCGAGCATTTTCTTCCTTGTAAAGTGCATTTTTTCTCACCAGTAGAGTCAAATAAAAGGTAAACTTTTATTGATGTTGTTATTACAGTTAAAAGATTAACACTTTAGTCTATTCTTTACAAATTAGGCGTGTTTAATAGTTGTTTATTTTAGATTGATTTCAACTCAAAATGTATATCCTTATGGCATTTCACCATATTTTTCAAAAAATTGTACAGTTCCTGATGGCAGTGATAATAATGCATGGCTTTTGATAACTTTATCAGATATATTTGACATTGTTAATGAACATCGAATAGATAAATTTATTATGGATCTTAATGGTGGAGAATGGGATATTCTTCCTGCTTTACTAGAGACAGTTCGATTCAAAAATATTGTCCTCGACGTAGATCTCAGAGTTCGGTAAAATTTTCTAAAGATGTTATAAAATTAGTGATTTTTTTTTAAGGCTTTGGAATTGTTTTCCGAATAGTGATAGCAATAGAAACAATTTATAGCTTCTGATAACTTTGCTTTCATTTTGCTTCTAGATTTTGGATTGGTGAAGACAACGAAAACTATCGTCGTATTCTGATGTATTTCTTGCAGCTTGAAAATTTTGGATTCAGGAAGTTATATTCGAAAATAGTTGATGGTACAACAGCAATCATCAGCTTTAGAAATATATTGTTAGCATAGGGTACTGATTTTTTATATGGTTTAAATTTTTTCCATTTATGTTTTTATTCGAGATGATAAATTATAATGTTTACACCTATGCATAATAATAATTGTTATTGCTTCGAAATAGTTCAGAGTGGATTATCTTGATGTATTTATAAAAGGAGTTAGCAACATGAATTATAATTTTACAATTTTCATTTGAAATTCTTTCACTTGTTTTAAAATGAAAATTTCAATTAATCATTGTTAGTTTAAAAAATTTACATGAATTAATTTGATATGCAACTATTCTTTCCCACTTCATTGTATTTACTTTTAATCCTATGATATATCTGATTAACGGGTGTCTTTCTGGTGATCTTTTTTGTATGTTTATACCTTCTTTTGACATCTAAGATACATCTATCTTATTCACTTATCATTATGCATTTGGTTATGTGATCTTTTTACATGTGATAAGTAGTAGCGGTGATGGTATTAGGTTATGTATTTTGTATATCGAGAATGATTTTGTATGTCGAGAATGACTACTTACAATAAATTAAGATGCCTTATTTTGCTATATCGAGAATGATTTTGTATATCGAGAATGACTAATTTGCAATAAATTAAGATGCCTTATTTTGTATATCGAGAATGATTTTGTATATCGAGAATGACTAATTTACAATAAATTAAGATGCCTTATTTTGTATATCGAGAATGATTTTGTATATCGAGAATGACTAAGATGACTACTTACATAAATTAAGATGCCTTATTTTGCTATATCGAGAATGATTTTGTATATCGAGAATGACTAATTTACAATAAATTAAGATGCCTTATTTTGTATATCGAGAATGATTTTGTATATCGAGAATGACTAATTTACAATAAATTAAGATGCCTTATTTTGTATATCGAGAATGATTTTGTATATCGAGAATGATTTTTATATCGAGAATGACTATTTACAATAAATTAAGATGCCTTATTTTGTATATCGAGAATGATTTTGTATATCGAGAATGACTAATTTACAATAAATTAAGATGCCTTATTTTGTATATCGAGAATGACTAATTTACAATAAATTAAGATGCCTTATTTTGTATTAATTAGAATAAGTTTTGCTGTGCTAAATAATGTAATTTTGTTTATTTGTATTTTCTTATTTGGATTAAAATTATGTAATGATATCATTGAAAAAAAAAATAATAATAAGAGAATTGTAAATTGCAATAATGTTATGATTAATTATTGCACTTTAGCAATGCTATGATATTAATCATATGCATTTCTTCCTAATGTGTTTTTATTTATTTATTTATTTATTTTTTTTTTTTGGGTAAGTTCATCGATTCAATAAACAATATACAATGTTTATTTTTATTTATTTATTTATTTATTTTTTTTTAAATTTAATAGCATTCGTAATTGTATTCCTCTATTTCTGCTGATAGGATATCGATTAAAATTCGATCAATATAGGAAGAAAAATAACGTAATGAAAATGCTTTCTTCTCATCCAAAATTAATTTACTTTCTTCCTAGCAATTAAACTTTACTTCGACAGATAGTATATTTAATAATAGGCATGTAATTAGTATTAAGCATTCCTCTATTATTTATACATTTCATAAAAGATAATCAATAATCTGATGATAAATTTCTAGAAGAATATATTCCTGGAAACGATAGCATAAAACGATGGGTTCATTTCCGGATTGGAAAAAATTGATGTGTTTGAGTGGAATCAAAATGAGTCTTCAGTTATTAGTTTTAGCGCTATTTGTTATGTCATACCAAGGTTTGTTTATTATTTATTATTATTATTATTAATTATTATTATTATTATTATTACCATTATTATGACTACTATTTCTATTACTTATTATTATTAATCACTATTATTATTATTATTATTATTATTATTATTATTATTATTATTATTATTATTATTATTATTATCTTTCACTATTATTATGACTACTATATTACTTATTATTATCTTCACTATTATTTCTATTACTTATTATTATTATTACTTATTATTATCAACCATTATTATTATTATTAATAATTACTGTTATTATTATTATTTATTAGTTATTATTATTGATATTATTATTAATTATTAACTACTTTTATTAATATTATTATTATTATTAATTATTATTACTGTATGCATAGATTTAAATCATGTGGGAAAAGAAGTAGGAAGTCCACTACAATATATGCTATAATTTATAGTTAAATTTATTAAAGTTGATTATCCAATTATATATATCACAAGTAGCATAGTAATTCAGTAAACTAAAATTCAATTTATAAATTAACAATTCTTGTGAATAAATACATATATGATTTCCACGATGAATTAGAAATATTTGTAATTTACACTGTATTTGTAGCTAAAGAAGATTCATTAAATACGATATATCAATTTCAAGTTCGTGATATTAATGGTGCAGAAGTGTCGTTGAATCGATATAGGTTTATTATTATTATTATTATTATTATTATTATTATTATTATTATTTATTATTATATATATACAAACCATTTATTCATTAAAAAAAAAGTAATTTAAAATTGATATTTAATGACGAATAAGATTAATATCTTTAAAAATGTGTGTGTATCCAAACCATTTATTCATTTAAAAAAAAGTAATTTAGAATTGACCTTAAAAAAAAAAAGAAAAAAAAAAGTGTTCAGGTGTCTTTTTCAATCTTCTTCTTGAAACTAAGTAAAAATTATCAGCTATCATTTAAAATCAATTATTGGTGTCTTTTTCAATCTTTTTCTTGAAACTAAGTAAAAATTATCAGCTATCATTTAAAATCAATTATTGGTGTCTTTTTCAATCTTCTTCTTGAAACTAAGTAAAAATTATCAGATATTATTTAAAACCAATTATCTATGTTTGATAGGAATACTAAAATTTATTATTGATTAATGATTATTATGCTGTTTAAATTGAAAAGTATAGGTGAATATATATTTATAGGAATAAGGTGGTTTTAATAGTAAATGTAGCATCTCAATGTGGTCTTACTCATTCAAATTATGCACAGTTGAAAAATTTGCATGATAAATACAAGGAACAAGGTTTAGCAATAGCTGCTTTTCCTTGTAATCAATTTGCTTCACAGGTATATTCATCATTTTTTTTTTTTTTTGAATTTAAAATACAATTAAGTTTATTTTGTCTATTTTAAACGAAAAAAAAAAAACAATAAAGAAGCGGCATTTTTCTAAGAAAAAAAAAAAGAAAAAACATGTGGAAATTAATTAATAGATTAATAAAAAATAATTAATAATTGGATTTATTATTAAGATAATTAATAATAAATTAATAAGAGGCTAAAATGATTCAATTAAGTCCATTTTGTCCATTTTAAACGAAAAAAAAAAACAATAAAGAAGCGGCATTGTTCTAAGAAAAAAAAAGAGACATGTGGAAATTAGTTAATAGATTAATAAAAAAACAATTAATAATTGGATTTATTATTAAAATAATTAATAATAAATTAATAATAGGCTAAAATTAATTTTTGAAAAATGATAAATATTTGTAGGAACCTGGAAATGAAATGGAAATTAAACGTTTTGTAAAGGAAAAATTCAATTTTGAAAACATGTGGAAATTAATTAATAGATTAATAAAAAACAATTAATAATTGGATTTATTATTAAGATAATTAATAATAAGTTAAAATTAATTTTTGAAAAATGATAAATATTTCTAGGAACCTGGAAATGAAATGGAAATTAAACGTTTTGTAAAGGAAACATTCAATTTTGAGCCTGATTTATATGCTAAAATTAATGTTAATGAACCAGAGGAACATCAATTGTATACATTTTTAAAGAGTCAAAAAGGTGGCACACTAATAGATGCTATTAAATGGAATTTTACTAAATTTCTTATTAATAGGCATGGAAAAGTGGTAAATTTTATTACAAATTTATTTACTATGTAATATTTTTTGGTAATATTTTAATTTTAATTTTTTAAAATTTAATTGTTTAATTGTTTTTGTTGTATGAAAATAAGGAAATTATAAAATTTGCTTATTATAGGTAGAACGATATGCTCCTACAGTGCAACCTAAGGATATAGAAGAGGATATTGTAAAATTATTAAACGAACATGTTGATTTATAATTCAATTTAGAATGCTTATAAAATTTTTCATTTGGTAAGCATTAATTGTTACATTAAAATTTAAATAAAGTGAAATTGAAAAATTATACGAGAAAAAAATTTTTTTTTTTTTTTGTTTTCTTATTCATTTTGATATTAATCAGTTTTTCAGTACTTTTTGAAAACTAATCTCCTCTTGTCCCAATTTTTTGTGTTTTTTTTTGTTTTTTTTTTTCAGAACGAAATTATTATTTGAATTTTTGGTAGTTGAACAAGTGAATAGCACAAAAATAGAAAAAAATACCAAAGGTAGAAGTGGGATTTTTTTTTAATCAATCAATAATTAATATTTGCTTTTTGTTTTATAGTTTATGTATTCTATGCATTGTATGCTTTATTGGAATATTTTTCTTGTAGTATCCTACTTCTTTAATTAGCATTATCGAGAATTTTTAATTAGCATTATCGAGAATTTTAATTAGCGTTATCGAGAATAGATATTTTGTATAATATGTTTAAATGATGATAAAATAATATTATATCTTTCATGTTATCATCATTCTCCAGAGATTTGAGTAGTTTTTAAAAGACAAAAAGATAACTAACTATATGAAGAGTTGAATTTTTAATTAGCATTATCGAGAATTTTTAATTAGCATTATCGAGAATAGATATTTTGTATAATATGTTTAAATGATGATAAAAAAATAATATTATATCTTTCATGTTATCATCGTTCTCTAGAGATTTGAGTAATTTTTAAAAGACAAAAAGATAACTAACTATATGAAGAGTTGAATGATTTGAAGATAGGATATGTTATCGATTTTAATTTTTTTCTTTTTTTTTTGTTGTTGTAAGAATATAAATAAAATATAGAG